GCCGAGGGGCGGGGGGCGGGGCCGGGGGCGCGGCTGCGACCTGGACCATTCAATCCAGACATTGAAGCTTTTTCGGGGAGGCTGCAGCAGCCAGCATCATAGCCTGTCATGAAACGGGGTCGCTGCCCCCACACACAGACAAACACACTCATGCACTCCTGCCCATGGGCTGCCCTGCGCCCCGTTGACACCCTTGGGGGGTTGTTGGCCCAAAAAGCGTTGTGAAAAGAGTTGAGGAGCTCACCAGCACCTATGCAAGCGCTCAGCACTCTGTGTCTCTCTCTCGTGTGCTTGGGAACCGGGCGTCCATCGGGACGGCCTGCGGACAGGTGACCAAGGGCGCCGTGCGCCTGCTGGCCGGCACGCAGCAGCTGCAGCACATCCCGCTGCCCGGCCTGCTGGCGGCGGCGGGCCACCCCTCCGCGCGCAAGGGGCGGCCGGGCGCCGGGGCCGCGGCGAAGGGCATCCTGGATGCCGGGCCTGTGCACATACGGTTCGCCCAGGTGCGGTTTGGGGAAGCAGCGGCTCGTTTGCAGCGGCCGAGCACGCAGGCCGCGGACGAGCAGCGGGCAGCGCGAGGGCCCCGGTGTGGGCGGCGAGTGCCTTGAGTTGTGCTAGATTTGAGCGCCTGCATAAGCGGGGCGGGCCGACGACCAGATGGCTTGTTCAACGGCTGCTGCTGCATCGTTATGACATCATCCTGCTGCTCCGTTGGGCCCCGCCGACATGGTATAATCCTCTCTGCATGACTGATCCCGCTGACAGGTGGTCGACCCCCACGTAGTCATCCTTTTGAGCGACGGCTCCGCCCTGCTGCTGCGCGGCGACCCCGCCGGCCGGCGCCTCGGCCTCGCGCGCGCGGCGCTGGCGCCGCTGCACGATGCGGTGCACGCGGCGCCGGACGAGCAGGCAAGACGCCGCGGCGCACGCCGGCGAGCGTTTGCGCGCGCGCGCGTGTTCGGACCCGGTCCTCTCCCTCCGTCGTCGGCCGGCCACTTACACACACGCCGGCACAGCCCTTGTTCTGCGCGCCATGAGGGATGGGGTGTCGCACGCAGCACGCGAAGGGTGCAGTGCCCCTTTGCAGCAGGCCGTTCCTTCACAGCACAGGCAATATGATGAGTGTTGGCCCCCCCACTGCCCGACCAAACCCGTGCCTCCCCTCTCATGCCCGCCGGCGCTTGTATTTCCGCGCTAGGTGTCTGCAGCATGCCTGTTCAGGGACTCGGGCGGCTGGATGGCGGCCAGGGGGCTTGGCGGCGCCGCGGCGCCTGCCGCGGGCGCGGCCGGCGCAGCGGGAGCGGGCGACGGCAAAGCGGATGCCCAAGCCGAGCAGCAGCAGCAGCAGCAGCAGCAGCAGCAGCATGAGCAGGAAGGCACTGACGGGGCCACGCAACAGGAGGAGCAGCAGCAGCAGGAGGAGCAGCAGGAACAGCAGCAACAACAGCAACCAGACGGCGCAGACGGCGCCGGCGCCACAGCCCCGGAGGCTGCCACGAAGCCCGAGGAGCCCGCCCCGACCCCGCCCTCCCCGCAGCCCGCCGCGGCGGAGGCGGCGCCGTCACCGGCGCCGTCAGCGCCGCAGTCGCAGGCGCAGGCGCAGGCGCAGGCGGCGTCATACCTTTTTGTGGCCCGGCTGAGCGGCCATCTCATCGGCTACCGGCTGCCCGAGATGGCGGTGGTTTTCGAGGACCGCGAGTTCCTCGTGGGGCCGCAGATCGCCGGCCCCGCGCGAGAGGGCTGGGCGCGGCGGCACGCGCAGGGGCAGCAGCAGGAGCAGCAGCAGGAGAAACAGCAGGGGCAGCAGGGCACCGCCGCGGCGGGCGGCGGCGAGGGGGGGTCGGGCATGGAGGTGGACGGGCGGATTGGGGAGGAGAACCCGGGTGAACAGCAGCAGCGGCAGCAGCAGCAGCGGCGGCAGCAAGAGGCGGAAGCCGGAGGGGCAGATGGAGATGGGGGAGACGAGGACGACGAGGATCTGGAGCTCGACGCGACGCCGATTGCAGAGCTGCGGCTAGAGGCATTCTTGGAGCCTTCCGGCCCGGCGGGCGGCGTGGCGGGGTGCGAGGCGCCGGTGCTATTGGCCCTGCGCGACGACGGCGGGCTTATGGCGTACCAGGTGATCTGGACGCGTGATCTGGGACGCTCGCCGGGACGGCTGAGTCGGACCGTGCTGGGCCATGCCATCATGATGTTAGCCCGTGCACCTGTCTTGCACCAAAGACAGCGCCCGGAGGATTGGAAAATAGTTGGCGAGCCCCGGTCCAGTGCCCCACGCCACCCCGGCAGCCCCTCGCCTCCAGCGCACGCGCGCACACGCCCTCGCCTCTCCCAACACGCGCCCCTCCCCACATGCATACAACATGCGTAACTTACACACACGCGCACGCATACACACACACACACACACACTCACACACACACACACAATCACAGACACACCACTCACATACTCTCACAAACACACACACACTGCCTCCCC